GTTTCTCCCCTGTGTGGGTTCTTTGATGTACAGTAAGGGTCCCACTCTCATTGAAGCTCTTTCCACACTCCATGCATTTAAACGGTTTTTCTCCTATGTGAGTTCTTTGATGTTTAGTCAGTTTTCTGCTATCACTGAAGCTCTTTCCACACTCTGTGCAGTTATATGGTTTCTCTCCTGTGTGAGATCGCTGATGTATTGTGAGTGCCGATTTTTGACTGAAGCTCTTTCCACACTCCATACATGGAAACGGCTTCTCTCCTGTGTGAATCCTTTGATGTTTAGTAAGTCTTCCCTTAATACTAAAATTCTTTCCACACTCCATGCATTTATAAGGTTTCTCCCCTGTGTGAATTCTTTGATGTTTATTAAGTGTGCCACTATCGCTGAAGCTCTTTCCACATTCCATGCATTTGTATGGTTTCTCCCCTGTGTGCGTTCTTTGATGTATTGTCAGGGCTGAGCTCTGGCTAAAGCACTTCCCACATTCAATGCATGTATAAGTTTCTCCCCTGTGTGAGTCCTTTGATGTTTAGTTAGCCTTCCTTTAACACTAAAGTTCTTTCCACACTCCATACATGTATACGGTTTCTCCCCCGTATGAATTCTTCGATGAATGGTAAGGGTGCCACTATCACTGAAGCTCTTTCCACACTCCATGCATTTATATGGTTTCTCCCCTGTATGAGTTCTCAGGTGTACATTAAGGGCAGAGCTCTGACTGAAGCTTTTTCCACAGTCTCTGCACTGATAAGGCCTCTCCCCTGTGTGAGTCCTTTGATGGAAAGTAAGGCTTGAGCTCACTCTGAAACTCTTTCCACACTCCAAGCATTTATAGGGTTTCTCCCCTGTGTGAGTCCTTTGATGGACAATCAAGCTTCCACTATAATTGAAGCTCTTCCCGCAGCTGGTGCATTTGTACGGTTTCTCTCCTGTATGAATTGCCTGGTGCTGCCTTAGGTGCTCTTTCTGACTGAATGTTTGTCCACATTCCATACATTCATAACAGCTCCTTCTTTTGCTAATTCCTTGAAATTTAGAAAGCGTTCCAATGTGACTGAAACTCTTTCCCGGTTCCATGCACTGGATGCCACAATGTCTATTAAAATCTGAATTATTTGCAACTATCTTGTCAAAGACGATGGACTCATTCATTTTCCTTCTTTCAAAGACTTCTTGTGGTATCAGCAGTTCAGATACTTTCGTCTCCTGAGAAGCAGATTTGTTTTCTCCTTCCTTATACTGGTTTTGTTTGCGATTCTTTGGTTTCCATTGATCCACAAGTAACTCTTTTCCCTTTGGATGCACTGAGATCTCCCGTGGTGAGACAAAGGGCTTCTGACAGTTCCCACTGTTTTGACCATTACCTGATTTGGAAGATAAAATCAATAATAAAAATTTTGTTAGGACATTTCAGGAGGAGACTGAAGTTCTCCCCAGGAATCAAACCCAATCAGGTACACCTGATTCCCTCCCCCCCATGTTAGTCTGTTTCAGCATGTTGGCAAAATTACTGTAAAGAGAAAAAAGGAAGAAAAATATGGACAATATATTGTGGTACTTTAAATATTAAGAAATCTGGTTCAATGTGAGCTGTTGTGGATCAAAATTGACTCCTTTGGACACATCTCTACATATCTGAAGGGGATTTTGATTCAGAAAAGATCACACTGATACAAATGCCTTAAAGTGCCCCAGTGTTTTGACTTTGTTTGTTCCCTCTTTTCCTTTCCCTCCTCTTATTTCAGTTTTTCCAATACAGTAGGACTGCGGTATCTGCAGGATCAGTACCTGTAGTTCCAGTTACAAACTGCCTGAAAATATTAAATTAAAAAACCCAGAAACATGTTTTTCCAAAGTGTATTACCAGACTTGGCCACTAGAGGGAATCAGAGACTATATTATGTACTATATGTTATGTCGCTATATCCACAGTTTTTGGCATCCATGAAAGTGAGGTGCTTCGAATCAATCCCTTGCGGATACCGCAATCCTACTGCATTCTTATCTTTCATTTCTGTGTCCCTGCTGTAACTTGGTTTATCTTTTTGATTATTCTGCTATTTCCAACAACTGCAATAATGACTTCCTGCCTGTTTTTCTATTTCGCTTCCTCAGGTACAGAGACATTTGTTCATTTTTCTGCCTTACCAATGTCATATTATTATCTAGTCCTGTATCGTTCCTTTTTTATTGTGTGTTTATTTGATTTGAATTTCAGATCACAGAATTCTCTGTTCTGGGAGTTCTACCTGGCAGACCCACACCTGAATTGTGCTCACCTGGAAAGAAGCTGGGCTGGAAGACTTCGTGGTCTTCAATAGGCTGAGCTCTGACTTAGCTGCCATTTAGAGCAGTTCATCTAGTATTCGCGAAGGCTTTCACGGCCGGGATCTAATGGTTGTTGTGGGTTTTTCAGGCTCTTTGGCCGTGTTCTGAAGGTTGTTCTTCCTGACGTTTCGCCAGTCTCTGTGGCCATGGTCATCTTCAGAGGACAGCAACCTGTGCTCTGGTGTCCTCTGAAGATGCGGCCACAGAGACTGCCGAAACATCAGGAAGAACAACCTTCAGAACATGGCCAAAGAGCCCAAAAAACCCACAACAACCATTAGTTCATCTAGTGTTTGCTGGGAACTCCCAGGAAACACTGGAGTAACTTCCTTTTTTAACAGCAAGGTAAGGCAATGCTCAGCCTATCATAGGCCATGAAGCATCGCAGCCCAGCCTTTCTCCAGGTGAACACAATTCAGGTGTGGGTCTGGTAGGTGGAACTCCCAGAATGGAGAAGTCCAGAATATGGAGTTTAAAGAAAGCACATTTTCCACAAGATTCAAGAGAGAGACCAAAATCTCATTGTTCTCTGGTTGTTCTTATTCCAAATTCATTTAGAAGAAGAAATAGTCAGACACTAAGTCCACATGAAGACCCAACCAACACTATATATCACAGGCTCCCAACCCTTGACCTGGTACCAGTCTGTGGCCTTGGCCGGACTGGGCTGAAGAGACAGATCTCCCCTCCCCTGCATGCACTCCCTCCCACACACCCCACACAGCCCCTTCACACATGCGCACAAGTGTGCGTGCATGCTGCACAAGCAGCCCTGCCCCTTTGAGCATGCGTGCGAGTGCCCCCCTCCATGCATGCATGCGAGTGCCCCCGCCCCTTTGAGCATGCTTGCAAGCACCCGCGTGAGCAAAGCCCCTTTGCGCATGCACGTGATAGACCTCATCCCCCCCCAACTGATCCGCAGTATTAAAAAGGTTGGCGACCACTGCTATATGGGACTGTGTTGCCGTCCTATACCAGATTCAGACCTCTCTGAACGTATCCGAGTACGAGCAGGTATTGCATCATAAAAAATCAACAGAATCTTTGCTGATTCTCTTGGGTCTGTCCAAAAGGAGCTGAGGAAGATGTCTTCTCCAAAACAGACAGGAGCTTAATTCCGGAACCAGGGATTAGAGGGGCCAGAGGCAATGTTCTTAACCAAGATAGGAGACAGGGGATGGTAACAAAAATTTGGGATGCGACCTACAGTCCAAGGCCACTTATTTCCCCTGAGAAGTAAACTTCAGGACTAGAGCTTTATGAACGAACACTTCAAGACAGGGAATGGCACATGGTGGCAGCTGAATGAACAGTGGGTGCCGTAAAAGGCTCAAGCTTGTTCTGCCAGGTTCTTAGAAGACATACACTGTGCTGGTGAAAACAGGAAGACAGCAATCCCAGAGGGGGGAGTGGGTGATAAGACTGTGAACTCTGCTAGTGGACCTGAAACCCCTGGCAACTGTTTACCTTCAGTGATTAAATACAAGGGGAACAAAATGCAGAGAACTTCCTCAAAGATCCCATCGGACAAGAACTGCTGGATAGCTCAGTGGTTTAGGTCTCTGCCTGCAAGGCCAGAGGTTGGGAGTTTGATTCCCTCCTGTGTCTCCTTGAGAAGGGCTAGACTTGATGATCCCTAGGGTCTCTTCCAGCTCTGCAGTTCTAAGGTTATTATTATTAAATAAGCAGGTACCTCCAAATAGCTTATGATCCTTACAATCCTGGAAAAACGAGTCTTCTGCTCCTTCCAGCCAAGAGATGAGATCTGGTTTGGGAATTCCTTTCAAAGACAAGAGACAGATTCATCACCACAAGGACACAGCTGTTCAAATCTAGCTCTTAGTATTATCCATTTGTCTCACATTCACAAGTATGTCACTTATTAAGTTAGCTCTCAAGAAGGCAGACATTAGAAGCCAGAATACCGTCCCATTATAAACTTGATCGTTTATCATTTACTTATTTTTAGGTACCATATTTTTCCATGTATAAGACACCCTAAATTGGCCTTCTCAGACACACTAGATGCTGTTCCAAGACCTCTATTCAGAGCATGTTACCATAGTCTCCTGAGAGTGAAGGATGCCTACAAGACACCCCATGTATAAAACGCCCGCCCACTTTTCTAATCCAAAATTTAAAAAATCAGTATTTTAAACATAAAGCAGAACACATTTTTATTTAGTAATTAGGTAACATTTACACACTAGTACTGTCATATTATGCATTACACTTGGCTTTGAGCATATCATTTTATTTAGTCTCTGGGCTCAGAATGCCCCAGCATTACCATTCCCTGTTGCATCTGAGCCTACAGGCTCCACCTCCAACGAGGTGTGTTCCAATCAGTTTGTACAGCATCAGCTGATGTGAATTCCATAAAGCTTATAACTATAGGAAGCTAAGCCTTTTGATTGGAGGAAGCCTGTTTACAGAGGAAAGGTAGAGGCAGTTTTCAATCACATGGTTCTCTCTAATTGGTTTGTACAGCATCAGCTGATGTGAAGTCCATAAAGCTTATAACTATAGGAAGCTAAGCCTTGTGATTGTAGGAAGCCTATTTACAGAGGCAAGGTACAGACAGTTTTCAATCACATGGTTCTCTCTTCGGCTTACTTCCATGTATAAGACAACCCTAAATTTTTGGTGTAAAAATTTTAGACAAAAGTGTTGTCTTATAAACAAAAAATACGGTATATGCTGCCTTACTCTTTAAAAAGATCCAAGGCAGTTTATAGTAGTGGGAGGGGGTAGATAACAGATTAATCTACACAGGGAACCAACACTTTATAGTGCTTTGGATAGAACTGCTGGATAGCTTAGTAGTTTAGGTCTTTGGCTGCAAAGCCAGAAGTTGGGAGTTCAATTCCTGATTGTTCCTCCCTTGATAGGGGTTGGACTTGCTGATCCACAGAGTCCCTTCCAGCTCTGCAGTTCTAAGAATATATTTATGAGATCATATTTTTGTCTTTTCTGGATCACATTTTAGTTTATGTCAATCAAGGGGAAAGTGTCCTTACCCAGAGAAGCTACCACCCCATAGTTTGCCAGCATGACCTCCTTGTATAAAACTTTTTCTGCTGGTTCTAAGAGAGCCCACTCTCCTTTGGTGAAACAGACAGCTACCTCCTCAAAGGACACCAGCTGCTGGAAAAAGGAAAAAGAAAAAAAAAATACTTTAACCAGAAAGAATCTCACATACATACACCAGTGCTCCCAGTTCGAAAGGGAAAGTACTAATAGTGTAGATTTGTAAATACAGTACTGTTTGTTCCATTTTACTTTGGAGGATTCAGGGCTTTAATTTTAGAAATACAAGAAAACTCACAATCTTCTTACTTGCTGATGTTGGGATGATAAAAGTAAAGAAGATTATTATTCTTTCTAACTGCCACCAGAAAACAAGGGGTGGCACTCAGAAGATCCCTCTTTGTTTATTCATGATTACTCCTTACCCGAAGTGGCTTAATGGCATCTCTTTCCACTTGACCATAAAGAGGAGATGGTCCAGAGCCTGCCTGTGTTGCCATCAAGTTGCCTGCGTGGGAGAGAAAAGAAGTAACAATTAAGCCGTCTCAGCAATTCCTGCCATTGCTGCTGCCACCACATATGATAAAGGGATGAGAAGCT